CCCGCAATCAGTTCCAGGCAGTTGATGTGGAGACCCTGTTCCTCTTGAGACCATGGACCTCCCGTGGATGCTTGGGTGCAGTGAGCTCCCCAGCCCCAAAGGCTCGCGTCCGACTCCAATACAAAGTCCGGGTTCGCCCCGAAAATGGCTCTGCCGTTCCAGGCTTCCATGTGCAGTAGCCACCACCGTAGTTCCGTCCGAGCCTCCGTGGGGACCGGGATCCAGTGATCGTATGTGTGTCCGGTTCGTAAATATTGGGCTTTCAGTCTCTGCATTGCCCGGTAGTGCAGCGGGCCAGGGAAAATGGCTTGTATTGATGAGGAGAGTAGTCCTACTATCCTCGCTAATAGTTGGAGAGGTATGGTGTCTCTCCTGAGTATCCGTCGGATCTCCTTCCGAATGGCCGCTATCTTGGATGCAGGGAGGCGTAGCACGCAAGAGTTGGAATCTATCTCGAACCCGAGGAACTGGACTACTCGTGATGGAACCAATGATGACTTCTCTCTGTTCACTATAAACCCCAATGATTCCAGAAAGTGAATGGTAAATCTCGTCTGAGATTGAATTCTGGATTTGGAGTCACCAAAGATCAACAAATCGTCCAGATACACGAGGCAGCGTATTCCTCTTCCTCTCAGATGGGCCATTACTGGTTTGAGGAGTTTCGTAAAACACCATGGAGCCGAACTGAGGCCGAATGGGAGACATGTGAATTGGCAAGGGCGACCCCTCCAGATGAAACGCAGGAAGATTCGGCTTTCTCGAGCCATGGGAACCGACAGGTAGGCGTCTTTTAGGTCCAAGCGTGTGAACCAGTCGCGTTCGTTCAGCAGATCCCTCAGAAGATGAATACCTTCCATTTTGAAATGGCGATAAGCCACAAATCCGTTCAGTTCTCGTAAGTTGATGACTGGGCGGTAGTCTCCCGTCTTTTTCTTGACCACGAACATGTTGCTGAAGTAACCCTGGTCGTCTGGGGCAAGTTCCAGGGTTCGTATCTCCGTGTCTATGAGGCGTCTCTGACTCTCTGACGCCTGGATAGGTGATGGTCGCCTGATCTGAACTGGCGTACGGGCAAATTCTATCACGTACCCTCGCACGGTCTGTAGGATCCATGCGTCTGCGGATATTCGTTCCCATTCCTGCGGAAAAAGGGACAATCTGCCAGCAGTTATATTTGAAGGACATAACGGAGGATAGTTCATGCTCACCTGAGTTGTAACGTCCCCTTCCTCTGTTCCGAGTGCCCCTTGTATGCAAGGATCCCCTTGTGAAGTTGGCTCTTGCAGATGGGAAGAACTGTTGTGTAGCGTATGGGCGACTGGGGCCGGATGGCCAGAAACGGCTGGTGGCCCGACCCCTCTGCCGACCAGCCCTGCCAAAAACACCTCGAGTTGTCTGTGGGTTCCGAAAGACTTGTCTAATAGATGATTGTGCCTTATTCAGTGTAGTGAACAGGCCTACGTGCTTCTTCAGTTCAGCCATGAATGGTTCTCCAAAGAGCAGTCCCTCCGCCAGGGGGCCTAACTCTTTCTTCCCCAGGTCCAACAGTTTGGAATCTATCTTCAATAAAGCCGCTTTACGGCATTCTGCGCACATGGCGGCATTGGAGTTCCCTAGTAGGCAGATCGCTCGTTGTGCCCATTCTCTAATGTCGTGTGCCTCGAGGGCCGTCCCCTGGGTGAGGGCCACATCTGCGAGGTATAGGATCCTCGCTAAAGGACCTAGCATGTCCAGCATTTTGTCCTGGACCGATTTCATGCCCTTCTCGACACCTTTCCGTGGGTCTCTGCCCGAGCGGGACATAAACACCCCCACTGTGGCATCGAACTCTGGGGTGAGGGCTATCTTGTCCGGGAGGACGGGACGTGGGCACTCTGCTTTGAGCTTGGCCCGCACCTCCTTGTCCATTGGCTTCCTCAGCCAAAAATGTACAAAGTGAGTCAGATGGTCCGGCAGGTTCCATTCTGACGATCTGGGGTGGCGTATCTGGCGTGGATCAAACAAGGGGTTGCCAGCCCCATCCAGAAACACCCCATCTTCATATACCTCCGTATGCACTTTACGCTTTTGCCGCCTGAGCGGTGTGCCCGTTCGGGGCCATGGTCGCTGTCTCCGACCTCTTGAGGCATGTCCTGCCAGTCCTCCTCCTCCGAGGGGGAATCCTCTGCCCTCCATTCGTCCATGACTTCTAATGAAGGTGGAGATAGCGGCTCCTCATCCCCTGAGGAAGGGGGCTGTGGAGGGGAGCGTTCCGGGCGCCTAGACTGGCGGCTCCGCTTTCGCAACACCTTCCCCTCCCATCTCTGCAGGGTCGTGTTGGATCCCCTCCATTGTCGTTTGCATGGCCCAGCCTCCGCCTTGGACTCGGTGTGCTCTGTATCCTCTTTTCTTGTCGGAGGCGTGGCCTCTGCCCCCTCCGCCTGTGGTTGCGTCATCATTTTGGCTAACGCCTTTTCCACCGAAGCCGACACAGCGGCATTGATCATGGCCTGGAAATCCATGGGCGATGATGGAGGGGCGTCTGTCATGGTGGCAGTTTGATCTTCCCGTCTGTGGGTAGATATGGTATACGTCAGTGCGTATGTAGCTACACAGTGGCTTCCACGTACAACTGGGGGTCACCCAGGTACCATATAATCAGTACCACTAGGAATTTGAGTAGTGGTCTGTAGAGGGGGTTACCCCCGGTAATGGTCGGGACGTGGCCCGGTAATGGGAGGTGTCAAAGACCTCAGTACGCTTTTTTATTTTGCATGTGGAAGTTACGCCACTGTGGGATCTTTTACCAATAGGCAGTGAATTGTGTGGATCACCCCAGTTGTACCATGGAGGTGCCGCATATAGTAAAGCGTACGTTGCTATAAGCCCTTGAGTGGGCGTGAAGAGCACCCTTGCGTAACTTAGATTTTTTATTTTTTTTTATTATTTTTTTTTCAGATTTATATGTATCCTGTCTTCAGTGTATGCCCTGTGAGTCAGCCACCAGTGTCCTCAGTGAGATCTAGGCATTAAGTATATCAGCCTGAGCAGTCCATGGGTGCAAGCAGGTAAGTATTCCTTTAAGCTTTATTTCATTTATGTGCCTGCAGTAACTCCTGTATCCAGGGAGTAAGGGGTTAACTAACACTTCAGTGTTAACCAGTATGGAGAGCAGTATATAAAACTACACATTGCAGAAACTACACATTATGTACAAACTTTATGCCAGTTCGTGGGAATCACGAACTGGCAACCTAAGATGGCCGACGAGGATCTTGCGAGATCCAAGATGGCCGCCGTTCCCGCGCAAACCTGGCCGGCACCCCCCTGTGTCCCCCAGTTACCCCCCAAGCCCTTGGAGCCCCTGGTCAGACCCCACGGTCTCGCGCGATCGCGGTAAAATGCAGCGAATCGCGAGGGACCAAAACAGACCAGAGGCAAAATACAGTGTAGCCCCAGAGACAGGGAAACCCCACAAAAGAAACACTAACAAGCTGAGGGAGCAGGCAGAAAACTAAGTGCATTTAAAAGGGGAACATACAGTAGAGTAGAGTAAGCCAGCATCAATTAAAGAGACAGTAAGAATTGCACATATAATAGACAAATAGTGAGAGCAGAATACTCTGACCTGTGCCTTGGCTGGAAGCAGCAAAGAAAGAGGAAGTCATGTGACAATCAGAGCCTTATATATGGTTATGTACTCTTTTATGATTGGTTAAAAGTTTATTGATTGACTTGTGCTGCTGGAGGCATGAGTAAAGAAAGTCATGCAAAATAGGAAGCCTCCTGTCATGTAATAAAATTATGTCTGTTCTATGATTCTACAACCACATACATGGCCCATATACATGGTTATTGTCACATTTCAAATGAAGACATGCCACAAACCAAGTCCCTCACATGGGTGTCACTAATAACCATACTATATTGCAACCAGTCTACTCAAATATCAAAATTTATTTAATCTCATTTAATTGTATCATTCACTCGTAATTTCTTATTGGGCCTTCATTTGGCCTTCCACAACATATGATTACATACAGCCGTCAGCTGACAAAACTACTACAACATAAATTATGGCCCCTTATTTGGGCATAGATTACTTATATGTTGTTAGCCCTTTAGGGCTTCTTACGGTCCTAGTCAATTGTACTTTAACCCCTTAAGGACCAAACTTCTGGTATAAAAGGGAATCATGACATGTCACACATGTCATGTGTCCTTAAGGGGTTAAAATGGTGTGGATCATATTTATGTTTGTTCTTTTAAATCTATGTCCACTATGTTCACTTTTAAATCTATGCCCACCAATTATATGCACGTAAATTCTCACACAGCCTCAAGTGGCCACCCAGTGACTCAGGAATCAAATTGGGCCTCCTTTTGGCTAATACGCCTATTAACTACTGTGGCAAACCTAGCCACTTCTGGACACTTCTGGTGAATATTTTGTTAACTGTTGCTAAGCTCATTTTGTATGCAGTGTGTAGCATTCGTCTAAATATTATATCAGTTATGTTTTTTTTTATGTAAAACTGTATATTTTGCTGTAAGGAGAGATAATGTGATTAACAGTACATTCTTGCACAATTATCTCTCCAGTACAGCAAGGCATGCTGGGAAACAGCCTTGCAGGCTAAGTTCCCCACACAGTCCTCTGTGGTAAAACCCCTGCAATGTCATTCAGGAAATCCCTTGCATGGGGTCTTACATAAATACTGTGACCGTGGAATAAAATGACAGTTGACAGTTGAATCCCAGACTATGTGTCGTCTAGTCCTTGGGGAAGAGGGTTATTATTACGCTGTCTGTGTTTTACCTGCTTTATCCTGACTACCAGCGGCGATACCGTGGATTATACTGCTACTCCGTTACAATTGGTAGCAAGCGACGGGATTGAAACCGCACAGCAAACCAGCGTTCGGCAGTAACCATACGAAAGGAGAAGAAAAGCAGCAGTTCAACTAAACAACCATTCGGATTAAACCAGATTTCGGTAATATGTCAAACTATGCAGCATTAAAACGGGCTATGCTAAAGGAATTATTGGAGGCAAGGGGAAGAATAGCTAGCAATAAAATGAAAGCTACCCTTGTGGCCGAACTCATGGAGGGGGACAGAGCAATCGCTGCAGCAGCTCCACAGGAAACAGAGCAAACTGAATTCGCAAAGGAGCTCAGGAGCAGGTTAGCATTTTACCCAAACACCCCCTCCGAAGAGACACTAAGCAGACTGATGGCAGATATACAGGAGTACCTTGTAATTAAGCAACAAGCCATTCAGCGAGCCGGGGAGGGAGCACCAGCTCTCGCCAGCATTACCCAGGGGAAAGCCAAGATTCCCTACCAAGCCTTTAAAAGCTACACAGAAGCAGAAAGCGATATAGATGAATACTTACAGGATTTCGAAAGGCTGTGCCAGCTACATGACATCAGCCCAGCAGATTGGGTACCTCTGCTTGCCGGTAGACTATCAGGCCGAGCAGCAGAGGCATACCGGGTTGTTCCAGACGAGGACAGCAGGGATTATCCAAAGGTCAAGCAGGCCATCTTAGCTCGGTATGCCATCACTTGAGAGGCATACCGGCTCAAATTCCAGGACATTAAGAAATAAGCGAAAGACTCGCACACAGAATGGGCCCACTGACTGCAGTGAGCCGCCAAGGGATGGATGGAAGCGACACAGGTCACCACTCTGGAGAATCTGTTCCAGTTAATCGTACTGGAGCAGTTCAACAGACTGACTGCAGAACTACAAAATTGGGTACGAGACCGCGAACCCTGTACCCTACCGGAGACAACCAAGTTGGCTGACGAATTCCAGGACACTAGGCGAGACCAACAAACTCAACTCCGGTCCGCTTATGGATCTACCGCCCCTCTTCCAGCAGTGACCACTTCGGCCCATCCATGACCAGGGGTAAGCAACAACTCGTACCCTCCCAGGTACAATACACGACCGCCAATCCGCTGCTATACCTGCAACCAGCAAGGACATATTCAAAAAGATTGCCGACGGAACAGGAACCGACCAACCTGGCATAACCAGGGGCCACCACCCCATAACCTAGCTGCGGTACACTGTTACCAAAAAGAACCCTTTGTCCCACACATGACAGCCATATCCGTAGAGGAACCCTTGGGAACCCTGCACGAAGTGAACACCATACAAACCGCCTCAGACAACCGACAGGAGCACCGCCAGGTGATACATATGGAGGGAAAGAGTATACAAGGTAACCCTCCATTAGAGAATTTTCTAACCAAAATCGGTATCTTAATTCGCATTCTTTTATTCTGATGGGTAAATATATCAATCGCCCTCTGGAGCTTACTAAGAAAATAAATGGGACACTGCCAGGTTATACAGTGCATGATATAGATGATCTTAATATTGTCATCTTAATTGCTGCTATTCTACCCGACCAGGAGATTTTGAGATTTTTCCATGTAGCTAAAATTTGCATTATATTCGAGTAAACTAATTGATAATTAACTGTCAGTGTTCTTTTCATTTCAACAAAGAGTTTTATCCCTAAATGAGTTATTGAATGTTGCCAGTTAAATGGATATCATTGAATTAATGCATTTTTCACATTTCGTCCCATATTAAATGACAATGCTTCAGATTTCTTTACATTTAACTTATAATTGGAAACTACACTGTACTTGGTTATAATATCTTGAAGAGCTTTTAAAGATTTTTCAGGATTTCCTAGTGTTATTATTACGTCATCCGCATAAATTCCTGTTATATCTGAAGATTCCCTAATCGCAATTGCCAAAAGTTCAATGATTAAGGCAAAAACTAATGGAGATAGTGGGCAACCTTGCCTGGTGCCGTTTGAAATACCAAACCCCCCTGAACGAAAGTTTTGGGCGATAACACTAGTAGTCGGTGAAGAGTATAATGCAGCTATTGCCTTGGCGGCAAATTCACCTAGACCATATTTAGACAGGGTGAGGAACATAAAGTCCCAATCCACCCTTTTGAAGGCTTTCTCAGCTTCAAGTCCTACGAAGATTGCTGCTATTTTATTATATTTGATTACTGAGATTACATTTAATAATTTACTGATATTATCTGAACCCAATCTCCCCTGAATAAAACCAGTTTGATCCAAATTAATCAGTTTGTGGATATATTGATTCAATCTCTCCGCTAAAATTTTAGCGTAAATCTTTATATCCACACTGAGCAGAGATAAAGGTCTAAAATCACTGCATTCTGGTGTTGGTTTATTTGTTTTAGAAATTGTAATTATTTGTGCTTCCAACAACTCTGGGTGTGCTTGGCCTGCTTTCTTAATTTCATTTAATGTTTGGGACAGGTAGTTAGAGATCTCTTCTTTGCAGAGTGAGTAATATTGATTAATTAACCCATCTGGGCCAGGCGCTGAGCCTATTCTCAATTTTGAGATTGCCCACTTAACTTCCTGTTCCGTAATATCTTCGTTTAACTTTATCAACTCTATTTGGGAAACTTTAGGAAGAAACTTGTTGGCCATCAGTTTCCCTGCTCTATTTTGACCATGATATAATCTTTGTTGCATAGCCCATACTGATTTATCCACTAGGAGTTGTTGAATTCTTTTTATTTGTAATTGTATTTCTCGGATTTTATTTATCTTTAAATCAGAAGGAGATTTGTTATTTTCTCTATCTAATATAATAAGTTCAGGTTGTCCTGTTATTTAGACCCTGAAGAGAGTCCCGAGCTGGGACTGAAACGTTGGTCGTTTTTTTAACACTTTTTTTTTTTTATTTTTAAGTCCGGTGAGCAGCCACTTCTATTTGCTATTTTTGTCTATTGGAGCTCTGGTGTATGTACGCGGCCTTGGGAACAAATAAGCGTGAGTGCAGGGGTTTTTCTATTTTTTTTTAATATAATAAGTTCTATATGCAACTCTCTTAGTGATTTACCTCTCTGCTTCCTTAACCTTGACTGCCATTTTATCATTATCCCTCTTATATAAGCTTTATAAGAGAGCCATACCATTTGTTTCAAATCTACAGAGACGTTGTTACTTAAAAAAAAATGCTGCTGTTTAATTTTTTAAATTGTTTAATATTTCCGGGTCCTTTAGTAAATCTATCTCCATTCTCCATAGCCTACTTTTCTTTGCAGAAAGATCATTGCCCAAAGTTACTCCCACCGACCCATGATCAGACCAGGTAATCACTCCTATTTCTGCATATTTAATTTCGGAAATGCCCTTGCCATCCATAAAAATATAATCCAATCTACTGTACATTTTATGTCTATCAGAAAAGAAAGAATAGTCCCTCTCTAACGGATGAAAAGTTCTCCAAGTATCATAAAGATTATATTTAAATAGGAGTTTGTAAAACCTTTTAGAGTTTTGGACTAACTGGGGGTCAGCTTTTGTTTCTCCTATAGAGTTTCTATCCATAGATGGATCCAAAGGTAAATTAAAATCTCTGCATACAACCAAAGTACCTGCAAATAATGTCCTCATAGTTTTTAATGTCTCACTGATAAACTTAATTTGCCCTTTATTGGGGGCATTCATATTTAAGATTGTAAATTTCTGATAATTAAACAAACCTGCCCAAAGAAGATACCGTCCTTCTTTATCTTTTATGATAATTTCTTCTTTTATTAATAATGATCTATTAAATACTATTGAAACCCCTCTTGATTTGCCTTTCAAATAAGTAGCACTACAAGGATTAGAATAATATCTATTACAAAAAAATTGAATTTTATTGGTCTGCCAGTGACTTTCTTGGATACAAATTACATCCGGCTTATCCCTAGACAGGTTTTTAAATGCTATACTCCATTTCCCTACTGTGTTTAACCCCTTAACATTTTGGCTAATAATCCTCAGAGACAGAGACCAATCCAGCCACGAATCTGAGGACCCTCTAATCCACCTTCATCCGCACCTTCTTTCCCACACCCTGGAACTTCCCACAAAACAAGACAAACACATTCACAACCATTCATACTTAGCATTAAAAAAAACTGTGATATCATCATCTTTTTATAAGATCTACCTACTTAGAAAATTCCCACTCCTCCCTCTACCACCCAAAAAGTGGAGAATCAAACTAATTTCGCCGAACTGACTTAGTTCGAGACCTTGGCGGAGGTCACCAGTTGAGCATTCCAATGGTCTTTATATTAATCAACCTAAAACAGCCCAGGTCTAAAAGGCCTCTCTTATCTATAACACAAAGTCAATTAATAGAGTAGTATGGGCAAGCAATCCATACGGACTCACAAAGACCCATAAAGGAAAAAAGAAAAAAAAAGAAAAAGCTATGGCTGTAGGTGTGAAACCAAACATCCAAGAGCCAGAGGAGGGAGGATGTTCAAAGAGAAAGAAAAAAGAATCCCTAAGTTTAGCTACCCCAAGATATAAGCCCATTTCATTGCCCCCTATATAGGCTCCACTTAACTTTCCCAATCTTATGGACCCTGTTACTACTTTAAATAGAGAAAGCAATTGGAGATAGGAGAGAGTGCTTTATGATTGTTAACCTCCCTATTCTGAACATTCGATTCAGCATGTTGGGAAATGTGAATTACCTTCATTACCTAAATCACTTCTATAATACAATAAGCCCTCTTAAATCTCCCAAACCTTTATCCTGTGAAAATATCCTATTTTGTGCAATTTCCCATTTACTTATTATTTATTTTGTGAAATTTATAAAATATATCTTTATTACATACATCCTATAATATCCTCCTTTTATTTCCATAAATATTTATCCAATAAAAATTCCCTATTGTGTGCATTTTTCAATATAACAATTAATGTTATCATTAATATAAGCATAACATTCTTTGTGAATTAATACAGACCCTTAGTGTGATTTGTCAGTTGTGTCTTCCTTACTCAAAAAACCCTCTATATTATCTGCTTTTAACTACAATAAGTATTTATCCAATACAGAATATCCCATTTTGTGCACTTTTTCAATATAACAATTAATAATATCACCAACATTAAACATAATCTTAACATTGTATCAAACAAGGCCCTATATGGTCATTTCATTAACATTTGTTTCAAACATTGTGCAGTTTTGACCTTAATTTGCATATTCACCAATACTATACTTATCATAAAATCACTTAATTCTAATACCATCCATTTTAATTTAAATAAACATTTATCCAATAACACCATTTCGTTTGTGCAATCCTCCAAATGTATTATAGCACATGAGTTTATCCCATTATAATAGATAACCTTATGTTTTTATCCAAAAAAGTCATCTATAGGTACTTTATAAAAAAATTATTATTACTAAAAAAGCACCCTAATGTAAAAAAGTTACCTATTCACCAGTGTTCTCTACTTATAAGTGGATTCCTTTTACCCAAAGTATTCCACATAACAAAATAGCCAAGATGATCTTAACCCCAGTTACACCCCCTTCAAGATGAGCATCTTAGCAAAACAGCTCTAAACAGGGCAGTTTAACATGGAGAAGGTAGGGATGGGGAATTAACTTTGGAAAAAAAGGCACAACACCAATAGAATTTTAAAACTTTATTTACTTGCTGTGAACTGCACACAGCAGCATAAATAAAAAGCAAAATAAACTAAGGGTTTTGCACCCAATAAATTAAAGAAACAGTACCAAATTAAAGTAACAGTCCAAAAAAAAAAAAAAAGGTTTAAATGGTGGATGTGGAGGTTCCAGGGTCCTCCTCCTGCCTCGTTTTTTTGGCCACAAATTGGTCAAGGGTCATTTGTCTATGCTTCTTGCGGCTATCCAGCAGATGGCGGTAGCAAAACACCCTCCCAGCACAATGCGCCTTGCATTCCTGCTCCTAGTTGCATGAGGATTATTGGCCACCAGCTCATCCATTATGTCATTGACCTGATGCAATGCCCTGTTTAGGAGCTCAGAGGAAAGCTCTTTTGGAGGCTCAGTGTCCGAGTCGCTGGTGTCCTGAGGTTTCTGTGTGCTTTGTTCAGCCAGTTCTTCAAGTTCCTCATTGTTGAGGCTCTCACCTGAAGCCTGGACTAACTGCTCGATGTCCTGAGCATCTGTGTCTCCTAGTCCAGCCGTGGTCACAAGGTCAATTATCTCTGCTATGATGGACTCTGGTAGTTGCACATCCTCACACAACTCTGGACAGATCTTTTTCCACACAGCCTTGAGGCAATGCTGTGTCACCTCCTTCCAGGAAAGATCAATGTTGGAGACAGCCTTCATGATGTGGTACTGCTTCCAGAAGTCCAACATTGACTGCTTGTCCTCGCTGTCCGTGTGTTCAATCAGCTGATGGAATGTGTGGCAGAGATAGTAGGCCTTGAAGGTGGCAATCATCCCCTGGTTCATAGGCTGGATAAGCGACATTGTGTTGGGCGGTAGGAACAGGATCTCCACAGGAATGCAGGTGGGCAGCTCAGTCAAGTTAGGTGGCTCTGTGCATTGTCCATGATGAGCAGCGCTTTCTCCTCCAGTCCCTTGCGCCGACAATAACGCTGCACGAAAGAGCAGAAATGGTCAGTGAACCACTCTGTAAAAATATCCCTGGTGATCCATGCCTTCCTGTTTGCCTTCCAAATGACTGTCAAGCTGGACTTGCTAATGCCCTAATTGCCCTCGGTGTCTGGGAGTGGTACACCAGCAATGGCTTTATACGGAAGTCACCACTGGCATTTCCACCCAAAAGAAAAAGGTGCTCTCTTCTGCTCCCTGGAGATGAACATGCGGCTTGGCATCCGCTTCCAGAAGAGCCCGGTCTCATCCACATTAAAGACAACCTCCGGTGGATAGCTCCCTCTATCCACCACGTCTTTTAAAGAGGCTGGAAAGGCTGCAGCAGCTCTAGTGTCCGCACTTGCCGTGTTACCGGTGATATTAAGGTTCTCCATCAATATGGCCTGGCTGAGAGACATGTTACACTCCAGCTCATCATCCATCCATATGGAAAGCCTCTTCTCCATCTCCTCAAGAGCATAGGACCTGGAGCGGGTGATCTTCTTGGCTAAAGAAGCTGTGCTGGTTGTCGCTGTTTTTGAGGATAGTACGGATAGTGGAGGTAGGCAAATGGAGATCTGCCTCGATATCCACCTGGAGCTCTCCTTTATCCAGGCGGTCCAGCGCTTGAATCTTGACATCCAGAGAAATACTCTGGTGCTTGCCCTTCGCCTGCTCCTCTTTGCGCTCAGACATCTGTAAAACAGTATAAAAAATACAATGAATGTAGATTTTCATTAAGCAACACAATGGAACAATTACAATACAGTATTCTGTACTGTACCTTGTCAGCGGATGTTCTCTGCAGGATTTGGGGGTACCTGATAACAATCACTAGATGTGACTCTATCTGCATTACACCCCTCCCGCCCCCCAAAAAATTGTATTAGACAATTCATAATTAATAATTAATAATCACATTATTAAAAACAAGGGAGCAAAGAAAGTTACAGGAAACAAAGGGAACAAAGATACAAGGGAAAAAAAATGGTATTAGACAATTAATAATCAATAATCAAATTATTAAAAGCAAGGCAACAAAGAAAGTTACAGGAAACAAAGGTAAAAAAGAAACAAGGGGGAAAAAATTGTATTACACATTTAATAATTAATAATCACATTATTAAAAACAAGGGAAAAAGGAAAGTATTCTGGACCTTGCCAATGGATCTTCCAGGTTGGATTTTGCTGTCTCTCTCTCTCTCTTTCTGGCTCTCACTGGCTCTTTCACCTATGGTGCACCTGTTAACGCTGTAACGACGCAGTTACGCTCTTTTAGCTTTAAGCGGGTCCCGCACGAAAAAAACAGCGCTATAGCGGGGTTTAGCGCTCTGCAGTTACCAGTACGGTAACAGCGCTATAGCGAATCAGCGCTATGCGGGGTAGTGCTAAACAAGGTTCCATGTACTACATTTAAGTACACAACTCGGTCTCACTGGGCCCACACCAATCCTGCTTATGCGAACCTCATCCAGGAAAAAAAAAATGTTTTACACTTACATCTCTTATTCAGCAGTTTCAGTCTAGAACAGTATACGGAATTCACAATCCAATTCCTGCAGTCTTGGTACAATTAACCTACATTCGCTCATGCCGTAATCAGTACAATCATACTCATACAGCCACCCACTCATATTGTCCCTTGGGCAGCTCAAGACTTACATTTTGCACTCTTGGCCTTCTTCTGCAATACCTCTACATGAGGCCCTCACTAGGCTTTCACTCCATACGTTACATCTGACCCTGTGTGGGCAATCCCATTAGGATCATGCCTGTATGACCCTCTTTCTTCACTTTGTAGAACCAAAAACCACTCACTAAACATTTAACTATATTCAGACCTCTTTGGTCTGTCACGGTTTTAATTAAATCACGTATAATCCACAACTCCTGTCACAGGCACTTACTAGATCTCACATATTTTGCTTCCTGCTAGTAAACTAGAGATGTTCCCTAGCTTTCTCATATATTCTTCACGTCCTTCTAGTGAAAGGACACACAGTGGAACTCATAATTAGATGCAGCACTTCTAAGTATCTCTCTTTACTACCCATATAGATTCGCCTAGGTTCATGGTCATAATCAAGTTCCATTATTATCTAGGTTTCTACTATTCTTACTTATCATCCTGTTGTTAATGTTTTAAACCTTAATCATAACACAGGTATGTTATACCCTTATCTCAATTAGTACTTACACCTTCCTGGACATATTCCCATTAGTGTTCCCATTGTGTCTTTAGTTTACTCTTTACAATATTCCTTTGTCAAGCTCAATCACAAACTAGTTGGGCAAGATACATTCATTAGTTTTCTATTCCCCTATATTCCTTAGGGACAGATCAACTGGCTGTAAAGGGTATTGATGTGGACCATATTCTAGTATATATGTAATTCAGTCCCATGAGGCCAACTCCCATCCTCACACGGGGTAATTAGTCCATTGGCCCAACATCATAGCTACAGCCTCACTCCAGCCTTCCCAAGTTATTAGATAGGGTCTCATCTGTCACGGCCACTCACTTAAATATCTCACTTATCAAAGAGAGGCCAACATTTCCACCACTTCTTTCAGTGGACTCAGTCTCTTGGTCAATTCAAAGCTAGAGTCTCTCACAGCCACTAGGCATTTAGTAGGGCTTCCCCATCTCCTTGCTTAGCTATTTTCTTTGCCATTTGGCACTATGCAAGCTGCCAGTTCATGCAAGGTTACACTATCACTAGCATGGCCGTCACATTTACTCTGTATCGTAGCATGTTTCACCCCAGGGAAATACAATAACAACAAACTTTAGTAGTAAGAATATCCTAACTCAGGAGTTCCTAACCCTACCATGGAGTACCCTACTTCGTACCCTTTACTTCCATCCTTTAAGGCTAATATTACCAGTTACAATCCCGCAAATGTTTCCTCTTCTGACATTATTACACTAGCACATTTAGTTTCCCTGTCAATCAGAAGGACATACTGGAAGGCTAAGACATCAATGTGGTCTCCTTGTTGATTGCCTCTGAAGACCTCATAGAAAACTAGGCATACTGCTCTGGAAACTTGCCAGCTGTTTTGAATGCTTGGGAACCTAAACTGAATAAAACTGCCTATATCTTAATTTGTTCTGGCCTTGGGTCTATATAGAGATGTCATCTGATACACATCCCCACACTATAGGGAAGCACTGGATTTCTTACCTAAAATGGTGGAACTGGGGCACAAGTATGGTGGTTACCCATTCAATGAATATCGCAATTTTCTTCAGGTCAAACAGGTGCGACTTTGCCTTAGTTCAACACTCATTCAGATTGGAGCCTTTTAGACAAATAATTATTCTGCTGTCATTTCACAGGCATTAAATCACTGTCCTTTGCTATTGGCGCCTCCAACTATTCTTGTTCTTGGGTAGAACATTGGCTTAAGGATAGAGTACAATGAGTTGTCATTAATGGTAAATTTACAGGCTGGACAAAAGTGGTAAGTGGTGTCCCTCATGGTTCTGTTTTGGGACCACTTCTATTTGACATATTTATAAATGATCTTGAAATAGGCATTGAAAGCCATGTTTCAGTGTTTGCAGATGGCACAAAATTTGTAAAGTAATAAAATGTGAGCAGGATATTGCTTTGCCGCAGAGGGACTTGGATAGATCAGGGGACTGGGCACTAACATGGCAGATGAAATTTAACGTAGAAAAATGCAAAGGTATGCACTTCGGGGTCAAGAATGCACAAGCAACTTAAATGGTAGTGAGTTAGGGATAACCACACACGAGAAGGATTTTGGAATTGTTATTGACAACAAATTAGGCAGCAATATGCATATGTCAATCTGCAATTGCTAAGGCTAGTAAGGTTTTGTCATGTATAAATACTGGCATAAATTCTCGGGATGAAAATATAATAAATACTTGCAAAAACATGCCATACAGAAATATAATTTGTAATTAGTGGGTAGTAGCTGCTTGATCCAAGAAGACATCTGACTGCTATTTTGGGGTCAAGAATAATTTTTTTCCTAGTTTGTTGAAAATTTGGAAGCGCTTCAGACTAGGTGTTTTGCCTTCTTTTGGATCAACAGCAAAAACATTTGTGAGGAAGGCTGAACTTGATGGATGCAAGTCTCTTTTCAGCTATGTAACTATGTAACTCCCACCAATTTATGTTCTATCGAACCCATTTGTGCTGCCTCTGGTTTCAACAGAGTCGAATACAAAGGCTTAAAGAAAATTGGGCAGAACTTTTGTGTCAGGTAAGGTGCAATCTGCAACATTTTCAAAACTGGTAGTTGCCTCATACATAAGTGACTGGCCATAATGATCAGTAAAGAAGCCAAATAATATATCTCAAAGTAAGCACATGACCTCAGATCTGTTTTTATTCCCAAGCATTTTGCTGATTTAAGATGTAATGGTAATCATTTTGGTGCTTTGAGATGTAATCTTAGGCCCCTCTTCCAGTTAAATTTTCCTGGGCATACAACTGGATACAATATTGCAGTCCTGCTCTCCCCCTGCGGGCAAGGTCCAGCATATCAGGGAAATGTAACACTGCAAGTGGTTAAGGTAGCGCAGAAAAAAAATACAGCCTAATCACATATTTATAATAAATGCGCTACCTTAACCACTTGCAGTGTTACTTTGTCTTGTACTAGAAAGTGTAGGGATACTTTCTTTTAAAGGAGCAGCATTAAAAAGCACCTCTTTCACATTTTTTCACAGACACACCCTATACTAAGTGTATGTTTTTTTTTTTTCACACGCAATTTTATTTCTTTGGATCATTCATTACAATATTGGGAGTATACTTGCTTTGCGCAGTTTACACGTGTAACGGAACGTTGGTCTCTCACAGACTATTTCCGCTGGTAGTCCAGGTGTGGCTCAGGAACAAGCAATAATCCCAGGCACAGTACCCACAGTGAGAGAATAATCCAGCTGCATAACAAGCACAATCAGCAGTAAATTCCAATAGTATCCCATCACCTTTCCCAATAACTGGATGACACACAGTATCAGGAGCAGAACTGAACTAACTTTTAATCACACAAGCCCTGCTTTTATGCAATGCTCCCGTGCAAGGGAGCCACCCACAATAATTAGTACATTAACCAATAAAGTACTAGGTACAACCCACACATCTCCTCCCATCAGCTTATCTGTTAATAGAATTAAAATTTACATATTTTTCCCCAAGTTCTAGATGTACCCCAATTACATAGGGTACACCCCTAAATGTGGCATCCCCTGATAGCCCTGATGTGGGTGAATAACATATTCAAAATTCACCCAGATTGGACCCGGGGTTCGGGAGTTATGGGGGTTAAAGGTTAGGTGGAGTTCCCTTTAGCTCCACTGAAGCATGGCTTTCCAGCCCAAACCAGTTCCAACTAGTCTGGCAGTGTGCCTGGGACAACTCCCTGCTGGAGAACAGTGGGACAGGAAAAGGGGGAG